ACACGGGAGCTGACACTTTTCTAACTTTGGACAATGTTTCCCAAATAAAACTACAGTCTCGTGTATTGTTATCCCAGTAGGCCCAGCCTGTGACGTGTACAATGAGGGCGGCCACTTGAATGATTTCAAATTTTGAAATTTCTCGAAATCCCCCATATATTCAGAGAAACACGCCTGCGAATGAATGAAAAACACGACTATAAGAAAGGCTTCAAGTCTGACTCACCCCGGCTGTGTCCCAGCGGGCACCTTCCACATCCAGATGAGCGACAGTAGGGATTTGCGCAATCACTAGCTGCAAAATAGACGAAAGATTACAGTGGCAATGTGTCAGGCGAAGACGAAAGGCCTGATCTTGTGCATCTATTACAGTAGCGACCGCTGCCAGAGCAGACTGTAGCTCTCCTGGCCAGAACACGTTGGTGATGACGACCTCCTTCAGGTGCGGAACTTTCACCACTTCCAATAAAGGTGGTATGCTGTCTCCGTATCCGTTCAGAAACACGAGACGAGGAAGATGGAGCTTTTTTAACATCTTTGATGTTTCTCCAAAACTTGAGTTACATGTGAGACGTTCTAGCGCTTTGCCGTGTCTACTGAGGAATCCGTGTATATCCTCAGTGTGGTCTAACCTCAGAGACAGGTCTCGGAGACAAGGAAAGGAAACACCTCGCCAGATTTTCCCATAAAGTATTGGAACTTTATCACCCCCTGGCTCGCCTTCCGTCGGTCCGTCGAGTTCGAGCGTTGTGAGATTTGACAGTAGAGGGAGAACACTCGTCGCCAAGCGGCAGAAGCCATACAAAGGTCCGCCAGACATGAACTCGCCGTCGACACTGTGAAGTCTTAGAATGTTTCTCGGGTCCCATCTTAAAGAGAACTTACTACATGTCAAGTGAAATTCGCAATTTTCGGACATTTTGTGCAGCGAGGTGATTGTGCCTCACCGTCTTCAGCCATCTGACAATCTCCGAGGGCCTTTCCAAATCGGGGCTTACATGGCGGTAGAGGGCTTTCGTCGCGAGAGGATGAAAAGTCCTACAAGTGGTGGCCAAGCAAAGAAACGACGATTTTTCAGCATAGTAAGTGATGTGTTCCCAAATTTCGATAGGAAAGATGAGGGTTGGGTGTCCTGGTTCATTGATCATGGGGCTAGATCCAATCTCAATCAGTGGGTTCAAGTATTTATTGTGGAAGGCGGCTCACCAAATGCTCTTCGTATAGTTCCACAGGTGATAAAGGGAGCGAAGGTGTAAAACGTCACGCTGTCACGTCACTCTCTCCTTCTTACTACTTACTACCATATAACATTCCAGAGAACAGTCTCAAGAATCGACATTGCATACTTATCAGCCCTAGTGAGAACAAAATTCCACTAAACTCATCAACATTCTGATGTTTCTATGCATAGCCGATCGGTGTAACCTATTAATGTCGAACGGGAAGAAACCGAGGATGTCAACCGAAACCGTCATCAAGGTGACTGAGACTCCGCCAGCTCGACACACCGGATTGGGTTGAGCAGTAGATTCGGGAAGAAGGCAGTATAGCGGGCCGTTGCAGGCGTGCAAGCCATTCCGTTTTCACCCTTCAGTTCGGCTGCTCTCCGACTGGACGTGCGGGCAACGCCTTGTTTTATAAAGATGCGGCTTGGAATGGGGACGCCGATATCTATACTCTAAAGGAATGTCCGGTGATAGGTAAGCTCACTGTAATCCCAGTCCTAACAGAACACTGACTATTGAGAACATCTAGGAAGCCAGTGACCGTACCAGCAATCCCACACCATGATTCGACATACTATGCCAAAAGCATGCTGGCAGGAGCTCTAGCTTGCGGGGCGACACACGCTGCGATGACGCCGTTAGATGTTGCTAAAGTTAACATGCAGGTGAGTCTCACGTCTGCTGTATCGTCGATATCTTCTGACCCTGTGAGTAACAGGTACACCCCACGAAGTACCCCACATCCCGTAAAGCGATATCCATTTTACTTAAAGAGGAAGGCCTACCTGGATTATGGAAGGGAGTAGGGCCGACATTGGTTGGGTACTCTTTCCAAGGAATGTTCAAGTGCGCCTTTTTACCTCATACCCGCCCAGCTACTGATCAGGAATGCCCAGATATGGGGTGTATGAGATCCTCAAGGATAGATATTCTCAACTCGTTGGAGACCCCATAGCGCAAACTTACAAACCTATAATTTGGCTCGCCGCCTCCGCATCTGCAGAAGTAATCGCTGATATTGCTCTGTGTCCCTTCGAGATGACCAAGGTCAAGGTCCAAACCTCTCCCAAAGGGGCCTTCCCAATTCGATTCGGTGCTGCCATGATGGCAATGGCGCGTCAAAGAGGTGAATTGAGGTATCCATTTGGGTCTCTAGGAGCTCTGTGGTCGAGACAGGTATGCTGCTAACGATGCTATTCGTGTCGTTGATGACTCACCGGCTTCCCTAGATCCCGTATACTATGGCCAAATTCTTCTGCTTTGAAGGGACGGCCCAACTTTTCTACACATACGTCTTCACTGCGCCCAAAGAAACGTACTCCCCGCTCACGCAACTTGGTATTACCTTTGCCTCCGGTTATATCGCTGGAATTGTTTCCGCACTCGTATCCCATCCGGCCGATAACCTTGTTTCTTTATTGGGCCAAGCGGAGAATGCTGGCAAAGGTGTCGGCTCAATTATCAAGGAGGTGGGCTGGGTGAGGTTAGCCACGAAGGGTCTGGGTGCAAGGGTTGTTATGGTTGGTGAGTGCTTGTTCCGTTGCGTAAATGATCGAACAAGTCATTAATAATCTCTTCAGGCACGTTAACAGGGTTCCAGTGGTGGATCTACGATACCTGCAAGACGGCGATGGGCATGGGTACCACGGGGGGAAAGTGATGCCGATGCTCTGTATGATCTTTGTTGGGCCTTGGCCGTTGATATTTGTATTAACTCTACTAATAGTGCTGCGTGTTCTATTTCGAGCTGCAGCTTTTGCCGAATCATAGAGATGATTAGTTCAGGTTGCATGTTTTGTCCAATCGGCACGCTGAAATGAAAGGTCTAGAGTACGCCCATGCAACCAACGAGGACTCGGGAGCTCGGGCCTTGAAACGCTTGAAAAATGATGGGCTATGATTGGTTGCAGATTACTTAACAGCCCGGATCACCGCGATGATGTGACGTCACGCTGTTACTCTGCTTGTCCTCAGCTTGTCCTCGCTCGTCTGGTCTAGTCGACGACCACAATTGCCCTAGCATTGGTGAGGACAGAGCTCCCTCATTCGCGATAGCTCTCTTCTCAGCTCGATTATTCAAGCTTTATCATCACTGCAATCAGTACGCATCGAGTGGACATTCGGTGGACGCATATGGATACAAACTCTGCATGGGCTAGACTCTGCAACTAGACTCTCAAGTCGAGCGTATCCAATGGAAGCCGTGTATGCCGTGTCCGAGTCATTTTCGACATCGGTATCTCTTAGCGATTTTGTTTTACACGTGTTTCATGCAAAAAAAATTTGTAGTGTCCAGGTTTATAAGGAAGCGGTCGGGGACGAGGTTGGGAATGGCATAGCGGAACTTGTACAATATGGCCCAGGAGTACTCCAGCATGAGGTGAGCACCACGGTTGCATTTGTCTTCTACTGTGGTTAACAATCGTTCCGGAATCGTCTTTTTCTAGGCATCGTGTATCTGTATCAATACCTTATCATGACTCGACATACTACGCCAAATGCATGCTAGGAGGAGCTATAGCGTGTGGAATAACACATGCTGTGACGACACCTTTAGACGTCGTCAAGGTTAACATGCAGGTTGGTCTCATCGCAGTTGTATCCTGGGTCACTCTTTTTCTGATGTTCAAAATTGCAGGTGTATCCGACAAAATATACCACATCTCGGACGGCAATACCTCTTCTGCTTCGAGAGGAAGGTTTACCTGGAATATGGAAGGGAGTTGGTCCAACGCTGGTTGGGTATTCTGTTCAGGGAATGTTCAAGTGCGTGTACAAGTTGTGCACCTCCTTGAAAGTAGACTGATTGCAATGCACGCAGATATGGGATGTACGAGCTTTTCAAAGACCAATACTCCCATATCGTCGGCGAATCCTTGTCACAGACCTATAAACCTTTAATATGGCTAGCGGCGTCGGCGTCAGCAGAAGCCATCGCCGATATTGCTCTATGTCCGTTCGAAATGACCAAGGTCAAAGTGCAGACCTCTCCAAAAGGGACATTTCCTCTCCGATTCGGTCCTGCTATGGCAGAGATGATCCGTTTACGAAGCCATTTGAATTACCCGTTTGGGTCTTTAGGTGCATTATGGTCGAGGCAGGTAAGTACACCTGAGTCTCACTTGAAGATCCTTGTAGCTGGGCTCACCTCAAACTCTAGATACCGTATACAGCGACCAAACTGTTTTGTTTCGAAGGAACAGTCAAGTTTGTCTACACGTATCTCCTCACTGCACCGAAAGAAACGTACTCCCCACTTACTCAACTGGGTATCACCTTTGCCGCTGGATACATCGGTGGAATGATCTCCGCAGTCGTATCCCATCCAGCTGACTCGCTGGTATCATTAATGGGAAAGGCGGAGAACGCTAATAAGAGTGCAGGTACGATTATCAAGGAAGTAGGATGGGTAAAGTTGGGCACGAAGGGTTTGGGTGCAAGGGTTGTTATGATTGGTGAGTCGTTGCATCGAGTGAATACGATGGCTCTAACAAAGAATCTATCAGGAACGTTGACTGGGTTCCAGTTGTGGATATACGACTCTTTCAAGACAGCCATGGGAATGGGTACCACAGGGGGCAAATAATCTTACGCGCTTCCCAGTACTAGTTTAATACACTATCTCTATCGGTTTAGCTACTAATTCTTCTCGTTTACATGTCCATCATAGATCCCACATAGATGATTCACCATTCAACGTAGATTAGGATTAGACAGATACCCGTTCATGAGTATGTTAACAAGCATGTACCCTAATACGCTACCTTTCGCAACGCCCGCGTTGTCTAATGGTTATGACGTCAGACTTCTACAGTCAGCCAGCTGATTCCCTCCAGGAATCAGCCGGCTGACCGTTACATCTGGAGGTTGCGGGTTCGAGTCCCGCCGTGGGTTTTTTAACGTGTCAGCTAACTCTTTCCATCATTGTCGTTGTCAGTCGGTTCCTCAAGTCGACACGAAATTCTGACCAATTGTCGGAAACGAAGGACAGACTCAAGGGTTTAGAGTTGGGCCACTGGTCGGTGTTCTTTTTACGTTCCGAGTACGGTCCTGCAACTTTTCTGTTTCATTCTGCGGAGTCAATCTCTTTTCTCCTGGCTGGCCTGCCAGTGGGTAACCTAAGGATCCAGATACACCATATTTCCTATTCCGCATGCCTCTCGGTTGTGTCGGATATTACTTTGGCAGTGTTATGGGTTGCCCGATTTCCCAAGACGGTATTAGTAAATACCCGAAGGTGTATGGGCACTTGTCTACGATGTTTAGGACTCGGGTATCCTCCGAGTCCGTCAATGGTCTCAGCGCAACCTTGCACTGACCGTAATGCTTCAGACGACCTTCTCATACAATTATTTAATCAGGGGTTGTAGTGTTAATATGAAATCTGCCACTATTTACTACCGTGTGACTGAGTGGCGCGCTAGGCTCGCTTTCGATGCACGGTTAGGGTTATTGTCCAAGCAGAAGAGCATGCAACCAGATACGGTGACTTCGCAGTTGCTTTATATTCACAATGAAATTCGATATCTTCCCAATGCAGTGGCGTTTCTACTAGTAATAGTAATATCCTTTCGTCTTCAATTCCTCTGGTGTTCGTGCGAGCGATTTCATATATATACAACTTACAAGTCCCGAAGAAGCCTTGGGGAAATTTTCCCATCCACTACAAACGCTTTTTTCGTGAACTAGACCGTCTTTCTATCCTGGCCGTCCCAAATTGGCTTCAACGCTTAAAGTTGCAGATCATTTCAGAGTGGGCTATGTCTCGATAGTGGGCCTGCTCAAAGTTGCCTAAGAATCAGTTGGGAGTATCCTGTGCAGACACTCGTTCATATACTGATTTTTATCAGAAGGCCGTGACCTGGTCTAGTCTGCTTGGCTATTACTCAGATACACAGTGACACCGAGTCAATTGTCGCCTATCGTCGCCTGCACCAATTGGTCGTGACTCGGACATATATCGAGACGTGAATCGGTGCCGTCGAAGTCGATTCAAATGTCGACGGCACCGATTCGTGTAGCCTTACCCGTTCTGCTTGGCCAGCGCCCTCAGATATTGCACAATTTCCGCCAATTATGACGACTTGAGCTTTCAGCTTCCTCAGTTATAAAGAGTTTTCGCTGCAACAACTATCTCACATCGAATTAGATCTCACACTCTACTTCTCACAACAAACAGAAACCAACTTTACATGTCTGCTCACGCTTCCGCTGTCCCTGCAGAGGTCTTCTACTTCGTCCCTCCAACTGACGGAAGCAGACCTACGACCTACCTTACCCCTCGTACAGACGGTGGCCCAGAAACAAACTACGGCTCAGCCAGGCACATCGTTCAGATCGAGAATGTTCGAGGAAAAGAGGATACCTACACCCTCGATGACAGTGGCTTCCAATTCGTCAAACATGCCTCTAATCATAAGGGCTTCAACGACAATGCGGAGATCGAGAAGGAGTATTACCCGGAGAGTATCGAATTGCTGAAGAAGCTCACAGGTGCAAGCAAGATCATTTTGTTCGACCACAGTACGTTTGGTGTTTGCGCCTTCTTCCGATACGTGACACTGAGCAAATATCAATCATTAGCTATTCGCCGCCGCGATGGAGAACCTACTCTGGACTCTCAAAAACGTGGCCCTGTTCCTCGGGTGCACGTCGACCAGACGTCCCAGGCTGCGCGCAACCGTCTTCGCCGATATCTTCCTAAGGAAGAAGCGGAGGAGCGATTGAAGCACCGTTTCCAAATCATCAATCTCTGGCGCCCTATCTCGCACCCTGCATTCGACTGGCCCCTTGCGTTAGTTGATTACCGTACGGTCAACGCCGAGGAGGACCTGGTCCCCATAGATTTGATCTATCCGGATAGTACTGGGCAATCCTCTGGTGTTAACTATAACCCTGACCACGAATGGAAGTACCTGAGAGGTATGTCCCCGGAAGAGGTTATCCTCATCAAGTGGTATGTGGCCCGCTGTAGTCGTTAAATGTCTGTGACTTACATGCCTTGGTGAAGCTACGATTCTATCGAAGACGGTAGCGTTGCGGTGTTTACTCCTCACACTGCTTTCGCGGATCCCACAACACCGGAAGGAAGCCCATTCAGGGAGTCCATCGAGCTTCGGGCACTCGTCTTCTACGACGATTAGGGTGGCATTCTTGAATGGTCTCGGAATGCACATACTGTAATGCCTCCAACAAATTCCTGATGCAGCTATTGGGCCTAGGGTTGTATTAGTAGTGGTGTTACGGAGTGCAATTTATGAAGTACCATTGATGTGAATTGATTTGCACCAGCATAATTATCTTTGAAGGCGAGTGCAAGGGTTAGCCATAATTCAGAACAGACAGTTCACGTTTTGGCGCCTACTGTATTCTGTCCTGTCCGATAATACAGCTATCGACTCAGCCGATTCATCCAAATTCCGCGCTACTTTCTGCGTTGCCGACTGGATATCGATGAAAGATACCGCTGATATTCCTTCCTCAGATCAAGCCGGAACGCTTCTTGCATAGCTAGATCCCTTTCGTCGTGTGGGTCCCGAATCGGTTCGGCCTTCTAGTCATTCCCAACTTCTTTGATGTAACGGGGTGACTGTTTTGTCGTTGAAGTTGTGGCTATTCAAAGCTGAGTCTTCATATTAAAGTACTATCTGTAGACTTACGAAGTAGATATCGAACTGCTCCGAATAGCGGTACTACACGACCCACAGGTACCCTTGTAGTAAGCCAGGATGGGGCTCGTTATTGTTCTTGGAACTTGTCTTCATTCTTCCAACATTCTCCTTGCCTTGAGCGTTTAAACTCGATTGTTATTGTAGATGCAGTGCAGTTGAGCATAGCGTTACTTGAGAGGCTCATTCCTGTGAAGGATGCCAAGACTGATAGAGGAACAGGAGGGTACATAACGAGCAGTCGTTGACGTTGATGGCAAGTTAAGTCGGAGGCTGTGTTGTGAGTCTGACTGTCGGTTCGGACTTAGGGGATACGTCATCATGTCACGTTTTTAAACTTTTTTCCCTCTGTCACAATGCAACGCTACCTTAAGGAAGACCTTACGCTCACTTGCCTTCAAGTCAACTTCAAGTGGTCCCCTTCATTTCATTCAAGTTGGTATTCGATCACGAAAATTTGTCTTTCCTTCAAGACGTGTCTAGTAGGAGCCAGTTCAACAGTATCAGGAATTTAGGACTGGGACCTTCGAAGCTTCCATCGTCGACAAGGTATGCTTCTCTGTAGTCGTCATCTTCTCATTGATATAATTTTGGTACAGTATCATGGCAGAGGCGGCTCATGTACAGTATATGCGTGCTCGACGTAATAGGTGCTTAACAATATACTGGTCACGATCCTTATCGCTGGCTACAACTGTTGAATCCCGGGCCATTCGTACAATTCTGTATGTGGTACGCTCTCCATCGTTCACTGTATCATGGTCTCAAGAACTCGGTCTGAGGGGTGCGTCCTCAGAAGTATATGACTTGCTGCCAGCATGAAAGCTGATTGGGCTGTCCGTGTGGAAAGAGGTCTGTTGGATGAACATGAATGCCAAAGAGTGCTGACCTGCGCTCCGGTTATAGAGCTGACCTTTGTTATCTCTAGAATAGGCCGCTATTTCGGGAATTTCACCTGACCTTGGTTCCCGTCGATGGTGTATTGTCATATCCTCGTCTGGGAAGTTCGGGGGGTGGAGAGTGGCCTTCGCTGGAAAACGCCATCCCGATATTTGTGGTTCCATTGAAGAGCTAGGTCCTAGGGTGTCTTGATGGTCAAATGCGTCAGCTGGCTTCTTGCAGTCTCGTGGTTAGAAAAGAAGCGTACGAGCTGATTGTGCTCTCCGAGTCGATATGTCGTGACATTGATACTTTAAATAGGGCTACCCTTGCTCCAAGAACTTTATGAATCATTAGAAGACTTGGTTTTGTCTGGCCCGACGATCCACTGACACACCGCTCGGAGATTACTCACATATACCGAGACAGTCGGGGTAAAGCACGAAATTTTTACAAAGTCCTGACAGCAATGAATAATACCTTCAATTCAGATATTTACAGACAGTGGTTCCGACGGTAGTCCCACAGACCACTATTAGCCAGTCTGACAAAGCCTTGTATTGGTGAGCAACTCTCAAACAATCCCACCATTTCAAGCGCTTATGACGACATCAGATCCTTATAAATGCTTCAGACCGGGACGACTTTCTCATATCGAACTCAAGCCCACAGTCTACTTCCCACAACAGAAACCAATTTAACATGCCTGCTCACCACCTCGACACCGTCCCAGCAACACTCTTCTACTTCACCCCTCCCACCGACGGAAGCAAGCCTGCGAACTATATTACCCCGCGTACAGACGGTGGACCCCAGACCAACTACGGCTCCGTCAAGCACGTTCTCCAAATCGAAAATGTTCGCGGAAAGGAGGAGAACTACTCCCTGGATGGTAACGGGTTCCTGTTCGCTAAACATGCCTCCAACCATAAGGGATTCAACGACGATGCGGAGATCGAGAAGGAGTACTACCCGGAGAGTATCGAGTTGTTGAAGGAGCTTACAGGTGCGAGCAAGGTGGTTCTGTTCGACCACAGTACGTGTACCATAGCATTCTTCCATTACATATGTCACTAACCGAACACCGTTAGCTATTCGTCGTCGCCGCGAAGGAGAAACAGGGTTGGATCCCCAAAAGCGCGGACCTGTTCCTCGGGTACACGTCGACCAATCCTCTCAGGCAGCACACAACCGTGTTCGACGACATCTCCCTGAAGAAGAGGCCGAAGAACGTCTGAAGCACCGCTTCCAGATCATCAACCTTTGGCGCCCTATCTCGCACCCCGCGCTAGACTGGCCCCTTGCGGTATGCGATTACCGTTCGGTCAACCCCAAGGAAGACCTCGT